AACACTGGAGATGGGTGAACACTGGAGATGGGTGAACACTGGAGATGGGTGAACACTGGAGATGGGTGAACACTGGTAAATGGACTGTATTTATACAGCGCCTTTCTGTCTAATCAAGACACTCAAATTTCTTGACAACACAATCTGTGTCCTCATTCCATGAAAAGACAGATCACTGGACTCTATTTAACGAAGACATCGAAGTAGGCGAAACCACTGAAACACCTCAACTTAGTCTTCCTTCGCTCATTCATTGTACTGGTTTAAACATTAGGAATAAATATTTTTTGTTGCTTAAACGTAATTTTCTATAATTTTATTCAGTCTTTTGTCACATGTATAAATTTAAATGAATTATTTTAGCCTAAAGTGCATTTGTTCTTCACTTCTATTTGACCTGAGAAGCCTTCAACTAGCTCAAGAACAACAAAAGTGCTGAACATAATCCCAGACATGACTGATTCCCAATAATCCTTGAGAGAAAACCCGTTGGATTACCGGCACTTCCACCCCTTCACGAGCTGCAAGCAGCCACTCCCAGCAGGCGATGGCTGTTTCCATGCCATGCTCCGTAAACATTTTGAGGGGCGACCAGCAGAGGTGGTGCAGCAGCTGAGGATCACAGTCTGCACACGAAAGACCAACAGTGAGAAGAATGATCTTCATGGGAGTTTAGACAAACAGATAAAAACACCTAACCTTTGCAGCTGATGAGCAGCGCCACCAGTTTGAACATGGCCTCGGTGAAAGCTTCAGGCTGAGCGGAGTCTAAAGCCTCTCCAATCTGTTGGATCATGAGCCGACTGAGGTCGGAATGTCCCCGGACCGCCTGAGCAAAGTGAATCATACCTGCAACCTATAGAACACACAAAACAGAGATCTAACAAGTGGAGATAAACACGAGCATGAAGCAGCTCAAGAGCTCCAGCTCTAATAAGAGTTTACATCTGTCCACGAGCTTCTGCTTTACCAGCAAGAAATTTACAACAAGACATAAAATACTATTTAATACATCAGCAGTGTGCAGAGAAATCCTGGGGACAGACGAACAACGGGGACGGAAGAACAATGGGGACGAACGAACACTGGAGATTGATGAACACTGGGGACAGAAAAACACTGCAGATGGACAAACACTGGGGATGGACGAACGCTGGGGACGGACAAACACTGCAGATGGACAAACACTGCAGATGGACAAACACTGGGGATGGACGAACGCTGGGGACAGACAAACACTGGGGACGGACAAACACTGGGGACGGACAAACACTGGAGACGGACGACAGGCAAATCCTTCTGCAGCTTCAAACTCCGTCTCCTGAAGAACCAACCCACAGGAGCTGTGCTGGCGTGAGAACACACTAATGTCTGATCAGCTTGTCATGAAACCACAGCGGGTAAAAAACATCACACAACACTTAATTTTTATTAGATTTCTCTTTTATATTAGCAAAGTTCAACGAAACATTACTCTAACAGGAACCATGACTCAAAAGGAGAGCTGTGTATCAGTGCTCTGGTACCAGAACACAGAGTACAAGGACAGGTACACAGTATCAAAACCCAGACTTAATACAGGTATAGGTGTTAGTGCATTGTTTTATTATATTCAGGCTTTCAAACAAAACAAAGGCAGTAAATATACTAGAGCACGACCGATATATCTGTAGGATTTGTATTTTAGGGCCATACAGGCTTTTGGAGATCTTTAGGTATCGGTGATAACTGTCCCATTATTTGTTGATATAAGTACTTCTGACTGTCACCCTTAAAATGCTGGAAACAGCTGCAACTGTACAATGTATCCAGCAGAGGGAGCATGAAGACTATTTTCAAGTCATGGCCATTCACTTAAGTTTCACTTTCAGGGCAAACGAAGCAGGGAGCAATACTGTGCAGCATATTTTACTGAATAGAGCATGGTAAATTTATTTTAACTGATCTGTAAAATAAAAAAATATCAACAATATTAAATTCTCTTCGATGCTCCAATACACTTGTCATTAGTTACGTGCCTCTCAAGTTAGCAAGCTAACGTTAGTGTTCAGTTGCACCACCTTCACGATATTAGCCCCGTTGTCAGTAGTTATAGGAACCAGTCCTGTCAGACTGAGCTTCCAGTTTGTGAAAACATCCAGTGTTGGTAACGTTATCTTTGTCAACTTCAATGAAATGCATTGTTTGTCTGAAATCTTTACTTCTCTACAAAGAAAAATAAACTGCTGCAGTCAATACTAATTAGACCTTCACCATACGTGACTGTTTAAACAATGAACAGGAAGGTGTTTCTTTGTTTAATTTATTTTTTTGTAACACACGTGATAACTTCATGGTGAACAGTGGAGGATAGAAAATGTGAACACACATTATAAGACAATTTTTATGACCAGTGCACCACTTGTAAACCTACTGTGTTACTACGTAGAGCATGGATCAGATTAGCTTAGTTTCATGGTTGCTAACAGCTGTGCTAAATAAACAAGCCCCGCTCCACTCACCGTTTTCTTACATTCTTGGGGGTGGAAAAAGATCAGAAATTTTCAGCCATTATATTGGTTATCGAGATTAGCCTTCCCCTCCCAATATCTGTATCAGTGAGAGCCAAAATTTCCAGGCTCTAGTAAATACATAAATTCTAGTCCACGGGTGTATTTCAACAGAAAAGAACCCGTCCAGAGGACCTGACTCAACCTTGTTAGATTTATCCACCTGGATTATTGATTGTACCAGGCCAAGTTAGTTTGAATGTGACGAAAGATGACTTTACCTCTCCGGCATATCGGTTTCGGAGGTTCAGAGAAGCCATGAAGTTGGAGTAGTCCTTCTTCACACAGGCGGGCCTCTCAGTCAGCTGAGTGGACTGACAAAGAAAGGCATCGACAGTTGTCAAAACGCTTTACTTTTGCTTCTCCATCTACAAAAACAACTACACAGTACTGATTTCTTATCGATGCAAATAATTTATGAATGATCAAACTGTGGCATCCCACTGGGCTTTGTTCTTGGAACTCTTATTTTCTTCATTAATTTAACTTTGCAAACTGCAGCTCTGGAGTCAGATGTGGCTTTATAGACTCTCTGAAGTGGCTCCTTGTAACTTTGACTAAAACAACATGAACTTAAGTAATTTTGGTTAATAAATGGACAAAAGGAAACGTTACTGTCTTGTCTAAACATTTGGACAGATGCTTAAAAGTCCTGTAGCAGCAATAGAATCAGAATCAGAATAAGCTTTATTATCATTGCACTGAGATCCAACGAGAACATGTACGTACAGTCATCCAAAAGATGGACGGAGTGCACGAAGCTGCTACTATAAAAGCGCAACCTTCTTATTCTTGTTCAGAATAATATTTTTGCTTAGAAGAGAAAAGGGAAGAAAACATGAGGAGACGGTATGAAAAAAGATCTCTCACACCGTGTCCTAGACAGGGCACGATTCAAGGCATCAAAAAAACCTACCACAGCAAAGCAACATAAACAGACGTTATACAAGAACATATAGACGGTGAAAACATTGAATTTTTAAGGGAAAGTCGTAGCATAGTCCAGAGGCCCCCTCTCAGCTATTGTCCAAATAAGAGGTGTTATTTATCATCAGCTCGGTTGAGGCTCTGTCACATGTCCAGGGCCTTGGGGAAGGGAGGGGTGAGGAGACAGACAAAGCATCTTTGTTTTTTTCTAAACATGCCAGGAGGAGTTGAGATAAGTCCGCCGTCAAGGCCACAGTTTGGGTCAGGCAGAACTCATGAATTGCTGTTTCTGCCTTTTAAAGTCTCGCTGGTACATATTCCTCTGATGGAAACTCCAAAACAGCAGAATTGATTCCTTATGCCGAAAGTCGAGTTCACAGCTTTCTCCAAGAGTATTCCCACTGTTTATGGGTGCTGCCAGAGAGTTCACAGTCCTGATAACAAACAGCCTGCTCCAACTCTGACGCAGCTCCACATAATTCAGTCTGAGTGCTGCCAAGCTTCGACACATCCACATGAATTTGTAGACAATCCAGATTTCACCAGCCAAACAGCAAAAAATCAGTTGGTAATTTAGTAATTATTGTCAAATTTAAGAGGAAATGTTTGATTTGTTTTATGTGTAGTACCTTTTTTCAACCACTGAATGGCAGTATAAGACTGTTTGAAGTGAAGGATGGATAGTGATGGAGTGAGCTGCGTGTCTCTTTAAGAAAAACAGGAGGGAGGCCCCTTGACGTGACATGGGCTGTCACTCTTCTGTTCTCAAAATGGCGGAAGCTCTGTGTGGTTTGAGCTCTTTAGCATAGCATTTGTCACACAAAGCTTTTAATAAAAAATAAGTAAACAAGTTCTCAGCTTTTTTTTTGCAGAAAACAACTTTTTATACAAAGGCACAGGTTTCAACTGTGAATTTTGGAGCTTCGAAAAGATGGAGGGTTTTTCCCCCCCCCGAGGTCAGCCTGTTAGCTTAGCTCGTAGCTTAGCTTCTCAGCTTAGTAAAAGAGAGGCGCAATGAAACAATAAAGCAGATAAATGAAAATGAGGTCGATAATTTTCATTTATCATGAGATTAATTGATTTATTGTTTATTGCGACAGGCCTAGCTGGTGTTGATCAGAGCCAGCCGCCTTCCCAGCATGAGCAACTGTGAGTAATCGATCCAGGACAGTTATCCACGGAGCCAGGTTCAGAGGGGAGATTACGGTCTTCATAGTCAAGTTAACTCGAAAGATTTCTCAACTTACGAGCTGCCAGATGCACCGACCTGCCTGATAATACCTAACTGATAATATTTACACCCCATTCCTACAACAGAAATTAGTGGACGTATGGTGGAACAGTGGTTAAAGCCCTCGCCTCACAGCAAGAAGCTCGCTGGATTGCTTCCTGAGTTCACATGTTGTCTCCGGTCATGTGTGGGTTTTCTTTGAGCACCCCAGTTTCCTTCCACAGATCATAATCATGCACGTTACAGTAACTGGCATCTCTAAACTGTCCACAGGCATGACCGTGAGTCTCTTTGTGTCCTTGTGATGGACTGGTGGCCTGTCCAGGGTGTCCCCCCAGTGTCTTCTGGATTTAACAGAATCGTTTGAACAAGGAAGAACCCGTCCAGAGGACCTGACCCAACCTTGTTGGATTTATCTGCCTGATTATTGAGCAGCATCAGAACGACGATACCTGCTTCATGTTCTGCATCTTAAAAAAACAGTAAATATAACGAGAAGTCGTACATGAACTCTCCATTTGCGACTCACCCCCAGCGTGGTGTTTTGTCTGTTGTACCCAGCAAAGTGCAGGATGCTTTCTGTAGCCATGGCAAGCCCCGTGTGCTGGGAGAGACCTGACACCCAGTTCTGATGTTTGTTCAGGTACTCCTGAAAGGTGCAACCCAAAACACGCTGGAGTTAAAACATCCATTTACAGCAGGGATATTTAAGAAAGACACTGTTAATTATATGGTAACTGCTTGCCATACCTGCACATTTCACCTCCACCTGCTGCATTTATTACAAATGTTTTATGTTTTTTATATCAATAAGATAATGCACTGGATGTGTTTTAGGGTCACAAGTGTTACAAAGTTCTAATAGAATTTCTTATAAAACACCAAAGTTGAGCCTAAAAATACAAACACGTAAAAAATAGAAACATATTTGTTAAGTTATAAAAACCTAAATGCTTTATTAGAAACGTCACCTGCAGGTGAGACTTTGTGACAGATGGAGCCCACTTCATAGCCTCCTTAAGAATTTCTCCACAACGCGCAGCAAAATCCTTCACGATGCTCTACAACAGTCACAGAAACAGGTTTCTTTAAAAGGATAGTTCGTCCATTTTTGAAGTGATATTCTGTCAAATAGAGATTATTCTGCTTTCGGCTGTTCCCTTTTCAGGGGTCTTGCTTCCACAACTCTCTCCCAGATCTTCATCGTGTGACTCATCAACCTAATTCCCCTGTAGTTGCTACAACCCTGTACATCACCTTGTTCTTAAAAATGGCCACCAGCACTTCTTCTCCATTCCTCAGTTATTTTCTCACCCTCAAATATTTCATTGAATATTTGAGTCAAAAACCTCACTGCCATCTCTCCAAGACATTTCCAAACCTCCACTTGTCATCAGGTCCTACTGCCTTCACCTTCTTCATTCTTTTCAGAGCTTTCTGGACTTCACCCTCACTAATCTTTCCCACTTCCTGGTCCACAGTTTCTATGACCTCTACTCTTCTTTCTCTTTCATTCTCTTCATTCATCAGCTCCTCAAAGTACTCCTTCCATCTTCCCGTCACACTCTCCTCACTTGTTAGAACATTACCATTCCTATCTTTAACAAGCCTAACCTGCTGCACATCCTTTCCAGCCTGATCCCTCTGTCTTCCCAATCGGTTCAAGTCCTTCTCTTCCTCTTTAGTGTCCAGTCTCCCATACAACTCATCATTCATCTTCTGCTTTGTCTTAGCTACCTCCCTCTTTGCTCTACGTCCCATCTCCTTATATTCCTGTCTCCTCTCTTCAGTCCTCTCTCTGTCATATTTCTTCTTGACTAACCTCTTTCTTTGAACATCTTCCTGCACTTCACTATTCCACCACCAGGTTTCCT